GAGACATTAAAATGGTGTTGTTTTACTCCCATCCCTTTAAATGTGAACTTCCATTTTCATTACACTCTTTTTGTGTCTTCTTCCTCCTTTATTTCAGTGTCTCCTCAGCTCATTTTCCTCTGACACCCATGCATTACATTAGAGCCATTTTCTAGGTTACCTGGCAGCCAGGAGAGAAATGCCAGCATGCGTGTGTTTGTGTAGCAGCGATCGAACAACATGGTCAGATCAGACACCGTCGAATCCAGCGTTTTCCTGATGCAACAACTGGGCAGAGTGCTGCATTATTCAGCGACTCCATCCAGCCCACCGTGACCACCTATAGGTACAACAGCTGGAACACAGCGTTCACTCGTCTGTCTCGAGTCGTTATCTGTTCAGCGGCTTTGGCAGGCCTGTCCTAGCAGCTCTGCTCCATCAGCTCCAGGTTCTTCCGGGGTTTGAGATGCTGCTGCTGGTTTATTCATCAAAACCCACAAGCTGACAACCTGACAGGTCCCTACAGCAACACAGGGCTTTCTCACTCATCTGTGCAGCTTTTCCTGTATTTTTTCCCGTTTCTCATCTCATTCACTCTCATTTCCCCATCTTTTTCTTGCTCTCTGGGTACAAGCTCATATTGCTTGCTCGCCTTTCCACTTCCTTATAGCGTTTGTAATCTTGATTATTTTTTCCTAACCATTCTAACCAAACCTCCATCTTCCCTCACCCTCTCTCCATCCTCACCTCCTCATCATTACTATTCCTCAAGTCGTAGCCAAAAATATCCTTGCGGGGTTTGGGCTCGACAGTCAGTCATAGCAGGAGTGTATTCTCGGATTATTGAAGCAGTCAGTCAGCGTTGAGGCTGTTGTGCGTCTCATTATTCAGGCTTTATCCCAGCATCCTCTCTGAAGAATATTTATAAAACTCTTGTGTTTTCACTCCTTTTCTTTAAGATTTGCTTTAGATACTGTAACGCAAATGCTTTTCTATTAATTAGGGTATGTTGTCATTTATTCTCTGCAAACCAATTTGTCATTAAATCTTGTGCATTCATTTATAATTTATCTGTTGACTGCTGTTTTAATGAATTTCTGTGAATATTTTGGAGCTTATGTATTTGCTTAATAGACCTTAACAATTTTAGCGCCCAATTACTTTTTTCTATTTTTACTTATCAGATGCAGGATACAAAATTTATATGTAGTTCAACTGCGGATTATTTGATTTCTTTAACCACTTGGGGGCAGTGTAAGAACCCGTAAAGACAACATTGACATATTAACACTTTATAAAGTTGAAACTTCAGCAAACATCCAGCAGATGCAGAGCAACATTAGCATTCATTTTGAGTCCAATATTGACTCTCCCATCTCTGTTTTCGGTCTCCGCCAACTCTTGAGGGAAATATCCGACTGTTTGCTGCTATATGCTCCACTATGTGCACCAGATAGGGGATAACTATGTCTGTCTGTTGTTAGATGCTGAGCAGGTAAGTGTATAATTGGTTTATTAGAGCTTTTTTCTGAAAACAACTGCCTGCTGCTGCCAAAAACAAACGCTATGAGAACGAACTAAAACTACAGTCTCAGCTCAGCTCAGAGACGCTGAAACACTCCGTACAGCTGAGGAGAACTGCAAAGTCGGGTAATAATTCTCTGTGGCTTCGTCAGTAAGAGCGACACTTCACACTACACATTATTTGATGCAGTGTTAATGTAAAGATATTGATTAGTGCAGCTTTAAGTGTATCTGTAGTAAGCATCCTCTATATTTGGGACATATATCATCGCCATTTCTTCATCCATGTACATATCTCCGTCTCCCGTTTAAGAGATATAATACAGAGTTGACACAGGCATAACATAGAGGGCTTCACTGAGTCATCTTGGTTGTATTCAAAACAGATCAGGGTCTGGGCAGCTTTTCCTTAGTGCTACAAGTCAAGGTGACCTAAATGCGAGCTTCTCTAGGTAGAACAGTAAACAACAACATTCCCAGTGGCATTTCCACAGACAAAACACTGTTTCTATTGTATACACTGATACAAATATGGCTTCACACAAGGATTAATTAGCTTCCTCCTAATTTTTTCCTAAAGCAGATAATCGTGTTCATAATGAAAACAAAATCTCAACCGCCTGAAACACCTGCAATTCCCAAACATGTGCACCCTGCTTCACTAAGCACACAGATGCAAATGAAGGTAATTTATCAACAACAGGGGCATTCATTTTGGCAGCTGAACAGCGTGAGAAAACTGTACAAGTTGATCTTATAAATGTACACCTGCACTCACATACACACAAACAATATCAGCCTTTGGCGTCATAGGATGCAGGCTCAAAAAGGCAGTGTGTATATGCGTAAATGTAAAAACAGTGAGGTGAAGTGAGATCATCAGTGCGTCCATGCCTCAGCACCCACACACAAACACAGTGTGTGCCCCTCCCCAGCTGTTCATTTGGGGGTCTGGATCAGACAGCTGTCCCTCTGGTCTGAACAGAGCTCACACTGTTCTGAAAAAGACATGCTCAGCACATTGTTCAGAGGTCTCTCTCCCTCCCTCTCTCTCTTTCTCTCTCTCAGCGGGGTTCTGTCAGGCAGGCCAAACAAAAGACACTGGAAACACCCAACACTGGCACAGACAGCCACAATGAGCATGGTAATAACACACACACACAGACACACAGACAAAACTGTCCCTACCTCTGCCTCAAAGGCAGTGGACCAAAAGCTTTAGGGATGCAATTCATAATTATTTTTATTTTCAATCTCTTGTGCATTTATTGATTAAAATAATTATCTTGTGTGTAAAAAACAAAAATCTGAAAATGATAAAAAGATATATAATAAATAATTATAAGAAAATCTGACTGATTTCAACACCAAAAAAGGTAAACTGTTAATCATAAAATATAGCTTGAAAACATATTTTTCTGTGAGAGCAGTAAGAGGAAATGAAAACAAAGTACAGACAGAAGGACTCACCTAGACCAGACGTGTAGATGGCCTTCACAGACTTCTTCATCTTGTACAGAACACTGCGGTCCACATCCAGAGCCTGAGAAGAGACACAAAGAGGCCGACATTGAGACTCATCACTTAAGTTAGTGTAGATTCGTTACTTTAATTCGTTACTTTTGTGTATTTTGCGGTCATTACGTTGATGGTGAGATATTGTTCAGCCTGCACGAGGTTTGTGTTATCTGTCTATTATCTGTCAGAAAACTATTCCCTAAAAACACACAAAATAAGATAAACACCTGACTATGTAATGAATTCTGATAATCAAACTGAATTGCCTTTTTAATTTCACTTTCTTTCGTTTCATTCGGTTGTTATACAGCTTTAAAAACAACCTCTGCAGCTGTCAGTGGAAGCCACACTTGTTGCCATTTTTCTGACAATGTTTCTCATTATTGTTGCTAGGTAGCTTGTTATCCATGTATGAGAATCAAGTCCCCATTTTGAATCTCACCGGCAATGTTTCTCTAACCATCGATGAGCATAAGACCTTAACCTAACTGAGATGCGTCGATTCAGAGGTAAAACCAGGTTTCAGTATTCTGAT